ACTCGTTGGCGTGAACTTACCGTAGTTGTATTTATCTAACCAAACGCGAAGGCTATGTTTTCAGAATCAAATGCTTTTTTCCGTATGACTAGTCCCTCCTGTCTGTAAAATGTAGGGACATACTTCCCCATCCAGGGAGCGTGCCCAGCGCGTGCATCACCATTCAACAATTTTAGCGAATAATTATCTGATGATATGTTACAATAGCCCTTATATAAGTCTAATTAAGTGGTCGGTATCCGTATTACAGTCTCTCTCAAAATTATATCTGTGCTTACCTTCTCTCGGAAATATGTAAGATGAATAATCATAACATAGCCGCGGTCGATAATAACAGACCGTCTGCCCGTGTCGGTGATTTACTCCTAATGAACTAAATATATCCGTGTCAACAGTGCCAACATCGACAATCAATCGTCATCTAACCGCGAACTGTTATGACGTCATTCGCACAGTACCACACTGGCAGTTTGTGTTACGCCATGGTGCTTATTATATATATATACTTGCATACCGGTACGTTTACACCGTTATTGATCGTAGGAAGTTATGATTTTTGATATGTCTTATATTTTTGTCTAAGATGTAACAAGACAGTTCTTGCAACTAGATGACTTCAATACACCGTGCATGTTTCTTACGAAAACGATACATTGAATGTCAATCTATTTGAGCAATCTCTGCAAACAGCTTACTGTTTTTTTTTTAAATTTAATTTTAATTCAATCTTTCTTGTAATCTATTCAAGCTGTTAATTCTTATTTTTTTGTACAATAAATTATTTATATTTAACTTGTTAATAATGTTTAATGTTATCCAATTTTCAATTTGTAAAATTAGGCCTACTAATGTTCTTTAATTGTTGTTACTTAAACTAATCATCTCAATTTTTTTGGTCTGACAATATTTTTGTGCCCTCGCATTCTTTTTTTGGTTGTTTCCATTTTGTCATTTGATGAAAGATCCTTTCGTTGTATAATTAGGCATATTTCATTAATTTGTCTTCACCTCTACAGAAAATTAGGCAATTATTCTACTTTAATTGCATTTCGTTTGAATTTTTACCATCGTATCTGGCAATAACAAAGGCACAATTACCGTGAGATACTTATAATAAATTAGTATCGTATAATAATCGCCTCGTCTGTTGCTGGAGACCTAATTGAAGGGTAATTCTTTTAAATCTAACAAATAGGCCTAGGCTTTTCGGAATCAAATAATTATTTTAAATTACATACACTGGGAAACAGTCTGAATAATTATGTTATATAGTATAAATTACTCATCTGTTAATTCGCATTGACTTTACCCGGCATATTTTGAATTTAGATAATGCTGTGGTCATAATTACGTCGCAAAACAGGTTGAAACGTGATGTATTTTAATAGATCCCAAGTTTTCGTATGTCAAGCCTAGTATACTACACAGGTCTATTATTTCTATCTACCACAATTATGCCTACAACTACTATAACTACCACTCTATATGCCTATCACCACCACCACCAGTACTACTAGTCTACCGTCACAACCACTGTCATCCGCTACCTTTACTACTCTAGCCTACGTGGCTGTATTCGTATTTTTTAATGGCCTTCTATCTATAAATTAAACACAGATATAATTACAATACACAACCGAATCCTAAAATTAAAAAGACAATGGTCTAATATATTTATTTATTTATGAGGTTTGTATCGAGAGAAAACCTTGCAATTTTCAGAATGAACACTGAATCATGAAGGCAGGCAATTAAAGATATTTCACCTAAATTTAATATAAACTGAAAAAAAGAGAAAATGTATGATTATAATGGGAAAAATGTCATTACTAATTAACAGAACATACGATCTTTATTGGATTGTAATTTTGGGTGGCAGTTTATTCTCTAAGCCCCCAGCTCCCACACCTTCCGTTCTGTCTACAGTTAGTCCACCGAAACAAATAGCATGAGGCCTATATGCAATAAGAACTGTAATAACCGTGGCCTGGTCTGGGCCTAATGCCCTAAATTTCCATTCTCCAAAATTGAATCCCATGCCTAGTTAAAAGTTAACCGATTACCTTGTTATTCACTCTAATAGAAATACTTGAATTTACTCATAGACTTCGTCTTCATATCCGAGCCATGCACAAGCCCTGGCAGCTTAGCTCGTGTATGCTACATACAGTAACATCGGAATTTATGCAGATGTCAAAATGAATCATTTTCAGCGTGCATGCGCCACAGACGAAACATCAGTGCAATTGTATTAAAGCGACTTCATGACAAATAGGGCCTATTGTACGTAAATCTAATGCAGAAACTTAAGTTTAATATAGGCCTAGTACAGTTATGGAGGTAATACTGTCTTGCTATATTATATGACTCACAAACGACACGTTATTTACAACTTTAAAATACGGTACGCGTTAACATTATTGCGATTTAATCATTACTGTATCTTTAATATCGTTTATCATTATCATTTAAGCTCATAGAATCTCTGGCGTTATGCGCTATATAAATGTACATTACTATTATTCATTAGTTTAATCTAAACTCGGGCTGTTACGAAGCTTGATTGACCGAACTTATCAGGGGCGGATCCAGAATTTCTCAAACGGGGGGGGGGGGCACAACAGTAAGTGAGTAGCACATAACATTGATTTGCAGTGAAATTTTTAAAATTTAGTAGCAAAACGGGGTTCACAAAATCGTGGAAAGGGTTTCATCTTGATTTAACTAAGTTAATAATTATCATTATCAATTCTAATTAAATCATTATCATTACCTTATCATTTAGTGCTTATTGTTATCATTATCGTTTTTAGGATTCCATCAATATTATTTTTAAACTGTTACGGTACTGTATTTTATTCATGTAACTTTAACCTAGTAGGCATACGTGGTATATTGATGAAGATATTCTTATTGACACAATTTTCACAATTTTAAATCGTTGTCGAGTCCAACACCACCTGTTAATCATTTAATATTTATACTGGTGGTGGCACTTTATTGATGTTGATTTCAAATTTCGCATATTAATGCCTTTCAGAATAATGTCCTTGAAATTTTACATGTAGGTTAATAATTGAACGTAGAACAAGATTTATGCCTACAGTGGCTGTTTCTATCTGGAATTCACCATTTAAGTCAAAATGAATCTGGATATTAGATTCATCCATAGTATAGTTGTCTGATTAAATGTAAATATCCTAATATCTTATTCTTGATTGGTGTGTGAAACAGCGCGACATTCCTATTTTACATCCATACGCACGGTTGTACGCACTGTCATTTCTATGGTTTTGAGTATTGTACGTCACAAGATTAAAGTTTAAGCAATGCAACTAAAAGTCACGTGCTTTGTAGAATGACAGTCAAGGCCAAATCTTGCTATGTTATAAATGTTTACATCAATAAATTGCAGTGTTCGTATAAGTCAAAAAGATATGAAGCTTAATTAATAATTGTGTGTACCATCAATGTTAACGTTCTGATGGTCATGATTCAGTATGATACTTATCATGGCAATACTGAAAACTAATAGTTAAAACGAAGACTATATTAATAGGCCAATTCGTATCGTCAATAATATAACAAATAAATTTTATATTCCCTTACTCAACCCATACACGATGAAATATCAAATAAGCCTAATAACATGAAATTAAAGGCATTTGTAAATATCACGTTAGCAATTTTCTTTCCCATGTTCTTCAACCAACCAATCAATCAGTTTCAATAATAAAATATAATGAAATAGGCATATATAAATCTCTCAAATTGTTAAGTTGATAACAAATCCAGATGACTTCATTATGGCGTTCAATTATATCTTCGCCTAAACAGGGAAAGAAAATAGCCGCAGATGTTTTTATCCACGTGTGGATTGTTGTTTTTCTCTAGGCTTCAATGAACCATGCTAACCTGTTTAAATATGTGATGATGTTAAGGTAACACGCCTATGTACATTCACCTTTCGAACTTTCGATCAATGCCTATGGAATCTCCAGCCCTGTGTCGACGATAAATGAAGTATCCACAAGGTGCGATCGGCTTTAGAGCTTTTATTTCTACCGCCTCTACAAGGCCTCTTTACCCAAGTCTCTTTCTACCCCTTCTTGTAAAAGCTTAAATTTAGTGTATACCAGTGCCTCAATACTAGGCTTTTATTACTTGCATAATTCACGCACTTGTTTATGTGGTCAATAATTAATATTCGGACATAAAAGGATGCCACACTGTTAAATATATTTCAAAAGTCAATAAATTCTTCTCATAATGTTAGAAGAAAATATAAAATGCATGGCTGCGATATTTTAGTTTAACTTGTGGTGAACATTTTAAATATATAAAATAACCTAGGCCTAAATGTGTGTTTTTTTGTTTTTGTTTTTGTTTTGTTTTTTTTGTTTTTTTTTTGCTTTTGTTTTGTTTTGTTTTGTTTTTTTTATAAATCCCTACAACTACATTAAAAAAAAGAACACATTTTATAAGAACAGTGAGACTGAAATTACTTACAGATTAAGAACACATTGAGGCTGAGGTAAAATGTTACATGAGGTTTTTATTTTTAAAGGAAAAACCCAACAAATCTTATCTGTACCTTATTTGCAATAAATGATGTACCGTACGCTCTATAATACAGTAGCCTACAGTAATACTGTATACCGGTACTGCTGTAAATAATAATTTTCTGTTTGAAAAAAGTGTATAAAAATCAGAACAAATTAACATATTTGAGCCTGAAATACGTGATCACGCAAACATGACGTTTTTGCACACAATATTGGTGAACATAGGCCTATGATTTAATTCTAAATAAAGTAAAATACTCAACGAGACCACAGAGATAGGCATACTTGACCACTTTGACGAATAGTCAGCCCAGTATAGACCTACCACTACTTAAAATAAAATACAGTAGCAGAGTACCGGTATTATATTATTTTCTTGCTGTTATTCCGGTTGATATTCTTCAATGCTAATATTTATTTTATATATTTACTTACCAAAGTAACAGCAGACACAATTCCGTCACTTACAGCATGGTTTATGTATTCGTCCCATTTCATAAGGTACTATTTCGAAATACATAAATAGAAAACGTTACCTTTCAGAGTCAAGGACTTTAATTTTCTTTTAGCTGATTTCGAAATGCATTGCGGAAATGTTTCTTATGTTAATAACATCAAACCATGGACCTGTTCATAATTATTACTAGGTCCACGTCCGCCGACTGGGCAGAGGAGTGTCATCCATCACACTAACGAGGGCGCCGTACCTTTGAAGCCGAGGGCCTGTTATTTTGTTGCGATTCAGTAGACGATTTATGCCTACATGAGATTTGACGATGTAGTTTCACAAGAAAAGAACAAACAAAAAAAAAAAAAACAACAAAACAAAACAAAAAAAAAAAACAAAACAAAACAAAAAAACAAAGAAAAAAAAAAACGTCTTCAATAACCCCCTGCCAATAACAAGTATGTCATGTTAAATAATTCTCTAAAAAAGACCAACACAATGAAACATAAGGCCAGCAACCCACCATTTATGTTTTGATGTTCCAATGTGTTGAATAGCCTACTGTTTAATAAGTGCTAATAGAATGAAGATATGAAACAACACTCAGTCTTTTAATGCATCGTAAATATCCTTATAAACATTTTGAAAATAAATAATATAGTACAATATTACTATTGTTGTTGCCCCTCTATTGACGAAAATTCCATTTTCTTCATTCTTATACAAATGCACGTAGGCAGTATTCAGATAAAAGTCGATTGACATTGGGCGACCTAGAATCATGTAGTATTTCCAATTTGCAACACTAATATGTGTATGTAATAACTAAAGCTTTCATCAAGAAGTTTGAACAACATTTTTTCACATAAATCCAGAAAACCTACACCATAACCTGTACACGGTAAGCTATCAATCATAAATAGTATAGAGACTACTATTGAGTGCTTCAGGCGTTAGTTCATACTTGACAACAAGCAGATTAAGTTCCATTGGAATGTTTTCTTGATCTTACAAAAACAAGATTATCTTTTAAAATTAAAGTGACATTTTAACTACGTCATAATTCATACTCACGCGCATGGTTGGTTTTAAATAAGGATTATGCGTCGCATGCAGCAAACGCATGGGCTCAGGATATTTAATTTTTAACAGCTTAGGTAGGGATGAAATTGGATGTAATCATGACGTCATATTTGTACCTTTAATTATTCACAATGCTCTAGTTGGCATATTTCGACTAGGCGATCATTTACAAATTCACAAGCAATTGCTAAATGATTCTTTTGAAAAAAAAACATTTCTTCAAGTTAAAATCAATAAATAAATCAATAATATCGATAAATCAAGTGTGTATACTTTTATGATAAAACCCCTTTAAATCCCATATTATTAGGTGTTGAGTGGTTCTCTGTTATAGGCCTATTATACATTGTTATGGATATCAACAATCCCATCAATAAACCCTGATACCCGGATGTGAATGTGGTCTTTAATTTAGATATTCAAATTCCGACTAAAGGACCCATTAACACATTGATGTTTTAAAGGGTCTTTATACAGAATTCTTGGATATCAGTTTTTAATCCAAAATTTATTACATAATATAATATAACATCATTACATAATTGCAGAATAGCATATTTTAGCTGCTGGCTTACAGGCTCTCTCTCTAATTCTAAAGAATAGTGTATGAGCATATGCTTTGCATATTTTTAATTAGGCCTACACATATGTTAACGGTTTATTATGATTTTGCCAGTCTGTGTCATTGGCCTGTAGTTTAACGCAGTAAATTATTCTGTGTACTTAAGGACGGCAGTCCATGTAGGCCTACTGTACTGTACTGTGACGGTAGTCTACGTACTGTACATAAAAAAATACCGGGCACCTTTTATTCTGTTTGCATACGATTTTATTCGTAGTGTTTAGACGATAGGGCACGAGGTACTGTTCACTGGTGGACAGCGTTTACACAATGATTAACTAAATATTTATAATAGCTTATTTCAAAAACAAATGCTGCAACTGGCGCCAGAAAGTAAAATGGCATTCTCAGACTTTCCCAGAATTTACGTAGAATTTTCTTCTTTTTTCTCCATTTCTTTTTGGAAGAAATTAGGTATGTGCCTCATAATGAGGCTTTCTATAGAGTATCTTGTGTGTATGTTTGTCTTGTGACGGGTTTGCCACTTTGAAGAGTGATTACCGTAAGTTCACTGTTTTGCATATCCTTGGCCCTAGTCCCTAAAATAATAATAATAATAAAATGTTCATTAATATTATAATAATTAAAGAAAAGAGATAGATTTCAGATTTCTTCACCGAAGGTCAAGTTGAAAAGCGTCGGAGATACTAGGCCTATGTCAAGATTGGAAGAGTTACTTTAAGGTGACGTAATAACAAGTTGCACCAAGCACATCCCAACAAGCAATCGTTGCTAACTGAATTTCAATGCGCTATCAAAACGCTGACATTAGATTAATAATGGCAACTTTAATGATGCATGTAAGAATTGGTATTTAGTCATCATCCACATCGCCTTTAAAAACGAATTAAATTTAAATGTTCAGTTGAAGCCGAGGGTAATGTATGATAATCGTCTTCGAAGGCCGCAGTGGTATCCCCCGTAACCGTAGGTGGTAAGACTGTTAGTTGAATTGAATTGAACAGAGTGAACCATGGCACAGGATAGGGTGGCCAGAAGATTTGCTAATCCTTATGTACGCGCATAATAATCTTTATTTTTATTGTGTGATATTGGTCAAGTACACCACTAAAGTGTAAGAAAGATATGGATAGTTGTCCATAGTTATATAAAGCTATGGAATACGAATAGGCCTAGGCCTAACTATGGTAATGGTAAAGTTAAAATACAATACCATACAATTGAATAGGTACCAGTGAATAGACTTGATATGTGGTTAAGCTCCGTCGACTATGGAAAGCAATGGCGTATCTAGGGGTGCGCCAGGTGCGCACCCGAGATACGCCAAAAATGTCCAAGGTAAAAATCACGCTGCAGAAGTAGTTGAAAATCTCCTCAAATCACATTATTTTTCGACCTAGCGGCCCGCCCCTTACTTAATCGTCGAGCCCACCTTCACCATGCCCATCAACTTCCACCCCACACTTCAAGACTCCTAGATAGGCCTACACCATTGATGAAAAGTACAGTAAAACATTATTAGTTACTGTGTAGGCCGAAACCAAAAGAATCGTACAGTAGCGTCGTACATGCAATATAACCAGCATATCATCATTACAAATTATTACATGTGACTTTGAGTTTAAATATCATCGATAATTATACTAAGGGGATGATTTAAGCGATGATCTTAATTAACAAATCACACCGCATGAATAATTTTGCATTAGGCCTGTACTAGTTAACAAAAATGTTAATCTTATATTTACATTTGAATCTCCTTTGTTCCTGCAATTTTTCTATCAACTGCTTTGTGAATCAATCATGTATCATCCACAAAGAAGCGACTTTAATAACCATGCACTAGTCATGTTTTATAGATTACGTATCGAATCTATAAATAACTATATGCGATATACTCCAACACGAATGAATGTGCTGTATGAGTATACATTCTATGGACTTTAGGCGTCGATTTTTGGGTTCGGTTTCATATATAGTCAGACTTTTCGAATTATGGTACCGTACGCGATGAAACCATAAGTATAGCGTGTCGTTGCTATGACAACAACGTTATAATTATAAATAGCTAGATGATGCTGTGAGAATCATTATGGAATGTGAACTAATAACAATGTATAGGTCCCTAAGTATATGATTTTGGACAAACATGCTAATAACAATAAAACAGTAAATGACAATCAAACATTAATTATGGAGAACAATTAAAACGCTAATAATATAAATTCTATATGTATTAGGGTATACTTGTAGTAATGTAGGGCATTCTTGTACTGCAGTAATGTACATGTCTCCTACTAATTAAAGACCCCTCTAATTAAAGACCACCTCCAATTAATGACCACTTTTCTGTGGCCCCTTTTGGATGCATATCTTTAACATTTGTTCCCTTCAATTAAAGACCAAAGACCATGGTTTTAGTGGACCGAAATAAAATTTTTAAAAATAAAATAAAAGTTTTCCTTCCAATTAAAAACCACTCTAAAATAAACAGTGATGTTATGATATTTATTTTTTTCTATAATAAATTTTGTTATAGGGCTTAAAACAAAAATATAAGCCAATCCTCATCATAAGATTGTGTTTTGTGTGTGTATGTTTTTTAATATAATCACTTTTTAATAATTTGTATTTTATCATTTTATATTATCCAAATAATATATTTTCATTTGTATTATACTTGAATTGAATTGCAGTAATATTTAAATGAAAAGTTGCTTAGAACAAGTACATAAAATGATGTCTGGATTTCAAAGAAATTAATTAGGCCGCTATTTATGTTAAAGTTAAGAACTACCCCACAATAAATGGTTCTTTTATAGCAGGGTTCCCAAGTTCCAAGAATCCACACCCGAAAGATCTGTTTAAATGATTTTCCTAAATACATCTACATTATTACGGTATGTTGCTGTGCATGGTGATTATTTTCCAGAAGATTCTTGGCGGGAGTGCAGCAGGTCTTCCCGCTGATTTTTAGGAGACTCCATCCTGGGACTCTGCAGGAGACTTGAGAACCCTGGGGGGGGGGCACTAAATGTGGTTTTTAAATTTCTCTCTTTTTAGTAAAATTAAGAAATAATGCATTAAATGTTCATGTTTTAAATTAACTTACTTATCCTCAGGCTGCTTATTTTTAATAAAACATTTCATGGTAGCCAGACATGAAGTCCTGTACTCGTTTTACCCAACTCCATTAAAATATTGCAGTAATTACCAACATCGATTTAATAGTATCGTTACTCAATGTACACAAAACACTGTATATGAAAAATATATTATGAAGTGCATTGGCTAATATTTTAACGTATAAATCATATAGGCCTATTCAGTAAATTTCAAATAGGCCTTTACACACAATAAATAAATTTTAATGTATTGGAGCTTAATGGACAGCCCTGCAACCATATTAAACTATCATACATTTATTTTATACAAAAGACATCCGTGTCAATGGAATTATAAATAAAA